AATATAACACTTAAAAAAAATCAATGAGATTACCATTTAATTTTGAGAATTTCTTATTGCACCCTAGATGTTTCTAATACACCATGTCAATTTCCACATATGCCCCCTGTTTCAGAGATACATCTCCGGACGCACTCTAGCACAAACTCAACAAAGGTCATTCTGAGCTACACCATTTCTTTTGGTTTAATTTATTTCGGAGATGCATTTTAATAATATTTCTATAGTTACATATCTGGATTCATACCAGAAACAAATTCAACAAAAACCTTCCAAAATGAAATTGACATTCATAACATAAAATGGTCATTACAATGATGATTTCAACAGAAAACTCAATATTAAATTTCAATATCCTGGTGGACGCTTGCACATCTTCAGAATATATTTGACCAATATTTGTAGCTTCTCTTCTAATTCGAGCGGAACTTTCTCTTTGAAACCGAAAAAAGTATCCCATATAACCCTAACATCCGCTTGCGTCTTGAGCTCAAATTTGGTGAACTTGATCTTCCCTCCATTTTCAATCAAAGGTGAACGGTACTCGAGCTTCGCAGTCTTTCGATTGTCTCTTTAAGGTAGAAGACAATGGATTTTGTCTTTGATATATTCGAGGGAGGTGAAGTCGGTGAAGCTTGAACATTCGGGCGGGTGTAGAGTCGGAGAAGGACACAATTGCGACATACCAATAAATGTTTATTTGTGACATTTGAGACATTTTGTGTTTGTGCGAGATATATCATTAGATTACCTAAATTTATAGAAGGCATAAATCATTTTGGACCACTCATTAACTGTAATGTTGATTCTAGAGATATATATCAAGAACCGCACTATATTATCTTGTTCTGTAGATACATCTCTGAAACCTATCCTGAAGTAGTTTCAAAATAGAACCTTATTTTTCCATTGACAAGATAACACATGTTGATATGAGGAAGATAAAAAATGCATAAAGACAAAATATGAACAAAAGGTGAATATACAACACTTCATTTATGCTGAGACGCAATTACATACAATTGTTTGTCCGGTTAAACAAGAAATCAAAATGAATCGAAACATATCTCGTCGGCTAAATCTGTCAGTGGCACCCCCTTAGACTTGTGTGCATTCAATTCTTTTTCAATGTTATTCGATCTCTCGAAGTTTTGCATCCTTTCCATAAAATGATCCTGCCATGTCTTGACTTTTGCGATTGAATGAGTTGTCCACTCCGGTGATGTAAGTTGTATAGGACATCCTGGTTTCAAGTAAACTTGAACAAGATGATTTAATTTTGAAAAACATCTAATACACACAATTCGATCATTTAGATTTTGGGGTGGAGCAGTGCACAGTGGGAAAGGTTTCTAAAAAAACCGTAGCGTGTCAGGCCAACACACACTTTATCATATGCACATGTTATTAGGTGACCCATATTAGGAAAACACGTCTATTTTCCCTCTGGTGCCGGATCGCTCAAGCAAGGAACAAAAGACTCATACGTCGCATCAAAATTTATTTCTTTTCATACAACCGTGTGTGCGATTATTTTTAAGTCTTCAATCTTGGATTAGTTGATGTCAGAAAAGTGTATGACTATCTTCTCTTTTACCGAGAAAAGCTGGAACGGCTCGGTAACCGCAATTTCCATCCCCCGTAACATTGATGACACACTCGATATATTTGTGCATAAATACCGACATCTTGTTGTTGAATGGAATCTTCTGTGGAAGTAGCGTCAGAAGTGGTTTGCTAATGCGGGTTCATTTCACAACACTTTTTTGAGACTTTGGAGTCGGTGAGTCGGAAAAAACTTTGTCAACGTGTTCAAAATACGAAGGAAACTGTGTAGTCGAGTTTTCATTCGATGTAGGCTTTATTTTCTTTGGAGCACCTTTTGTTTTTTCCGGTTGAAAATGCAGTTTCATGTCGGTGGTTTTGGGATAGACAATCTTCCTCAATTGTTATTTGATGTGGAGTTTCATGTTGTCATTGACCTTTGAAAATCTCTCTTGTATTACTTCTCATCTAGTCAAAATAGAGATATTCGATTTACCGTCATCCATGCATCCATCATCATCAAACCTAAGTCTCTTCTAATGAGAGCAAACCTCATCCATTCTTATTGGTTCAACAAGTTTCACCTTTTTAACAATAACACAAACACATGGGAGACCATATGTTTTCACAATATTGCATCCACACTTTTTGCTATCGGAGCCTACATTATCGAATTGTTTAGCCTCATGAAAAATATAGTTCAAACCTGTCCGAGAAATGTTACCAACCAACTGAGAATATATAGTATTGTTTTTAATATGTGTTCCAAAATCATGATGCTCCGACCAAATGTTGTTTGTATCTCATTATACTAGTTTTAAATCATGTGGTTCACAGAGTCTCAGTCTCTACACAAATATCCTTTACTATTTCCCAACCAATTTTTTGAAGTATCATAAGACGGCTAAACTTTGTTAGTACTTGTATTTCTGAGGTGTCTAATATTATCAGTCCACGCACAAACTATCTTCCCCTTCACCTGGTTAAGAGTTGTGCTTTCAACATATCTCAACAAATCTGGATACTTTTCACACACTTTCCATAAATGAATAAAGAAATCAACATATAGTTCTTTTGTGGAAGAACTTATTATACGATTCCAGGCATCCATTATTTTTTCCACAATCACACCCGCCTTCATCAATTTTCTGCCTTCAGACTGTATTTGTTTCATCCCTACAACGGGTTTAACCTGACTTCTCACATTCTTTATTATGTGATACTTACAAAATAATGCACAAGACGAAGGAAATACCTTTGCAACTGAATTCATCAATGCAATATCGCGGTCGGTAACAATCACTTTAGGCATCTCACCTTGAACCTTCAAAAGGGACAGACACACCACTAATGTCCAAGTAAAATTGTCCCTTTTTTCACACTTAAGAAATGCAAAACCAACAAAATATTTCTTCTCAGTTGAAGTAACACCAACCATCTCAAATAATGGAAGTCTATACTTATTGGTCTTATAGGTTGAATCAAGTATAAGCATATCAGGAAATCTGTTGAACAACTTTATGGAATCAGGATGAGTCCAAAAAATATTTCTAACCGTAACTCCAGTATTGCACGTTTGGTACCTAGACACATAATTGCTATCATCCAATAGTTTCAAGAGTTATCGCATCTTAGTTCTATCCCCCCAAAGCGCATTGTTAGTAAGCTACCGAATATTACACACTTGCCTGATATTTGATATATTGTTGGGTCATTTTCGTTTCAATGTCGCAAGTGTATTTTTCGGTTGAACAAGATTCAAGGTCATGTTAGCAATACATTCTTTCCTTCTCTTTCAGCTTGAGCTGACAGACACTAGGATGGCCAACTAATTTTAAACACAAATTAGGGTTATGCAAACCACATATCATATTAAATCTCCAATTTTTGTTTGCCAACATGTAACCATGAACCTTAAACGGTCACTCACATTTACTACTACCTGTGTCTTCTCTTTTAAAATTTCGGAGAGGAGATCGATATTTTCCGCTTCTTTTGCACATCATTGTCACAAAGACACATCTTCTATCTGAACCATTATCAGACCTTCCGATAACCACACAAAATCTATTTTTAGAGGACTCCATACGAATCCATTCAAACATTTTATCATGAGATTCAAACTCTTGCTTGTTTTTAAATTCGCTTCCAACGTATACCACCTTCACAATAACCCCTTGAACATTCGGAGAAACAACCACACCTTGGGCTTTCGGAGAAACAATTTGTTTTGGGAAAATATCGGGGATGCACCATATCTAATGAAAATAATTAAAATAATAACAAAATGTAAGGTCATCTATTGCTGCTGATTTAATGCAAAAACAAACACAAACAACTTTTAGAAATGCATCTCTAGACAAGTTTATACACGTTTCGAAGATACATTTTCGGACATAGCGTAACTTTTTTTAGAAAAAAATGATGATTAATGTACCAATACAGAGAGAATAGAACAATTTTTACTTGATATTTTATATTCTTCTGCTCCTTGTGATATGTTGAACCAAAAGAATAAAAATTTGGAGTGAAAAAATGGATTGTGACTGAAAGTATTTAAGGTGAAAAGTTTGCTTGAAAACCAACTATGTCAACAATGGAGGAATGATCATGCAACGGGATACTATATTAGATATTTCCAAAAATCCATCTCCAGAAAAACCTGATATGAAAAAGTGACAGAAAATTTCAGCCGTCCATAATTCCGAAGATGCATTTCTGAAATATCTACTGAACTGAACACTTAAAAAGTTAAAATGTTTTTCTTTAAATATTTTAGAGATGCACCTCTGAAATATCTACTGAACTAAACACTTAAAATATTTTTCTTTAAATATTTCAGAGATACATCTCTCGAATATCTATTGATCTGAACAACTAAATTATTTTTTTAAAATATTTTAGAGATATATCTCTAAAATAAAAATAATCCAATATATTAGACGCCTCTTAAAATAAAATTTGTTTAAATATATGCCAGAATGCATAGGAAGATGTATCGCGGGAATCAAATAATATATATAAAAATTCAGATGGTATGATATTTTAGAAACATCTAGCATGAAATAAGGAATTGTCTAAATTTTATATAGAACGATTGTTAGTATTTTCTCGGGGTCAAATTTTCAATTAATTATTATTTTATCCTAGTGTATTGCGAACCTGTCATTTATTTCTCTACAACTCAACCCAACCTAAAAGTCTTCAGCTAGTGCTGGAGTCACTCGTTTACCCCCAAGACAATCTATGCAGGGACTCAAACCAAACTAAACTCTCTCCTTTTTGCCAGTAACTCGTCCCCACTACCAAATAAAGACACAAAGAGGAAGCAGCTCTGCCAGAGTTTCATTCATTGCTGCCAAAACCAAAATCAGAGTTTAAACTTTGAAACCCCTCTCGTTCATTCATTCGCAATCTAAATCTAAATTCTCTTCTAGGGTTCCAATTCTAAATAAATGTACTCCAGCAATTTGATCGGTTTCATATTGGCCGTTGTTTCCGGAGCTTTCATCGGCTCCAGTTTCATTATCAAGAAAAAAGGTCTCCAACGTGCCGGCCTTAACGGCACTCCTGCTAGTAAGTTACTTTATTACCCTCTTTCTTTTTCCTTACAGTTTTCTAACTAATTTTTCTTTTCAGGTGTCGGAGGGTATGGTTATCTTCTTCAGCCTCTTTGGTGGATCGGAATGGTTACAAGTCAGTACCTATAATAAAACCTAACAACTATTTTCATCTTTCCATTTTCAATTTTCAATTTTCAATTTCTTTTTCCTTTTTTGTTTCTGAATTTTTTTACGCTCCTCTTGTTGTTTCAGTGATTGTTGGAGAGATTGCGAATTTCGTAGCGTATATTTATGCCCCTGCTGTTCTTGTTACGCCACTTGGTGCTTTGAGTATTATTGTCAGGTAAGCAATTTGTGCGTGTTTGGTTTTGACTGAATTGATTCAGACTTGAATAATTTCAACCTAAATCAAAATCGGATTCTGTATTTGGGATTCAAACGCAATTATACTACTAGAGTATAGGTTTTGCAAAGTCAGTGTGGAGCGATTTTAATGGATCCACGGCGATACCAAATATGCGTCCTCCAAATTTGAAACCAAACATACACTTAGATTCTTCTTGTTTACTTTCGCCTTTTGTTTATCAAGCTTTGAATTTAAACTTAACGGATTTGTTTGTGGAAATGGCTAGTGTAGTGCTGTGTTGGCTCATTTCATGTTGGGTGAGAAGTTACAGAAAATGGGCATGCTTGGGTGTCTTCTATGCATTGTTGGATCTACTGAGATTGTGCTCCATGCACCTCAAGAAAAGTCTCTTACTTCTGTGCTAGAAATATGGCTTTTGGCTGTTCAACCAGGTATCCTGCTGTTGAAGCTATTTGCTGTTTTTTTGTTTTAATTATTATTATTTTTTTAACCGAAGTATGATATTTCCGTTCGGTTGTATTGGTTTCCAGCATTTCTCTTGTACATAGCCTCGGCAATGGCTGTGTCATTCTTTTTGATTTTTTATTGTGCACCTCGCCACGGCCAAACTAATATCTTTGTTTATATTGGGATATGCTCCGTAATTGGATCATTGACTGTAAGTGATGCTTCCTATCCAATTCATCTTGTACATTCTAACAGTTGACAGAATTCACTAGTGGAGTTGATCTTTTCATTTACGCTTTTGAACTGACCAAATATCTTCTCTCTCAGGTCATGAGTGTAAAAGCGATTGGCATAGCCATTAAACTTACATTTGATGGTTCAAATCAGTTTGTCTACTTTCAAACATGGATTTTTATAATGGTCGGCATTTCCTGCATCATTACTAATTTAAATTACCTTAATATGGTGAGTATCACTCTTACATTTTTATGTGACTATTTTTCAGCATAGTTAGTTTTCAATTATGTGTATCGTCTGCTTTTCTTTAGTATAAGAAGCTTTTTTTTTTAGTATGAGAAGCTTTTTTGTGGCCACTTGTCTAGCTACTGCCTCTGTATCATCAACATGAGTTTATTGAAGTTTCCAGTGAAATTAAATTGCATGTGAATTTAAGAAACCTTTTGTTGGATATGAGCTAATTTTTAAGTTCAAGATGTTGTAACCTTTACCCAAATAACATCCATGTAAATCTTGATTCAGTTGATCTTTTCATGATGTTCAGTTGTCATAACTGGCTTGCTAATTGTCTGTGATCTGGGTTTCTATGTTGATAGACTCTTGTATGGTTGGTATTGCAGGCATTGGATACTTTCAACACAACAGTAGTTTCTCCAATCTATTATGCATTGTTCACTTCCTTTACAATATTAGCCAGCGCAATCATGTTTAAGGTTGGTATTTTATTTTATTGGAACAAAGTGAAAAATGCATCTCAGGAATCATCTTTTAGATCAATTGCTCAACTATCTGCTACTATTCTGTCTTCTCTACTCTTCTCATTCAGGACTATTCAGGACAAAGTATAAGCAGTATTGCATCAGAGCTATGTGGTTTCATCACTGTTTTATCTGGAACAACCGTATTGCACTGCAATAGAGTACCTGATCCTCCAGTGAGTACAGGTAAAGATCTAATTCACTTCGGCGAGGCTCCCTGGTCCTCATAATTAGGTGTTCCTTACCGAAAACTTTATCAGTATTGGTAGCCTGACCTTAATGCAGTATGATTACGCCAAAGGCTAAAATTTAATACAAATTTTCGATAATGTGGGATGTTTATATTTCCGAGTAAAGAGTGGGCTAGGATGCTTATGTAATAAGTAGTGCGGTGAGGATATATGATAAATAAAGAGTGGACTAGGATGCTTAGTTGGCAGGTTTGTGAGAATGTCATGTGTGCTTCTTGTAAATGCAAGATAAGGTTGCCTACAATAGGCCCGACCTTTCCTGAACCACACAATGACGGAGCCTTGCAGCATTAAGATGTCATTTTGTTTTCCGAATACAACACTGACATAAAAAGGGCAAATTTAATGGGAAAACATGATGGCGATAATTATGTTTAATGTACAAATTTTTAGATAGCCCAGATGTTGGCAATTGGTGAGAAATTGTGCCAGTGTCCCGACTCATTTAGCCATTTGAGGATGGAACTTTTTTTCCCATTACGGTAATATAACCTCCCATTTAGACTACCATGAACCTGTGATGCATAGGTACGGGTACGGTATCCGGTGCGGGTACCGGTACTGGTACATGATACGTCATTTTTCAAAAAATCAGAGTACATGTACGTTAATAAAATACAAGAGTTTTCTATTAAATACATGAGTGGAGAACTAAATATTGTTAGATTCACAACAAAACATCACTATGAAAGTTTAAAAAAATAAAAAATAATGTTAAGATATAATAACAAAGAAATTAAAATACATAAATATATTATAATGATATTTAAGAAAATCATAAATTTTACTCAAAACCGAATAATAATTAAAAATGAAGTACCACGAGTACGATACGAGTATCCGATACGGGTGTGTACCCGGTACCGGTACTTCATCATTTTAGAAGTACCCGTGCTTCATAGCCATGAACAAAGCAAACTAAACTAGTCTTATAACAAAGTGAGGAAAAGAAAATGGAACAACCGAATCACAAGCAAACTTTATTTCTGTCGACGTTTAAAATCAATAACAAGCTGCTCTGTCATGAAAGGACGAACTGCTTACTGTGGGAACTGGGAACATAAATTTTAGATTTTGGTGCTTCAGATCATGTAGTTGGTAATCCCTATCTTATCTCTAACTTACCAGCTCCTAAAATACCCCACAGTATACTGGTATTGGTCAAGCTTCACCTCTGTCATCTCCATCTTTGAATTATATCTTTTTTGTACTGGTTGTTCAGTCCTCTTGTTTACCAGCTCCTATAAACTTACCTGCTCTCTCAATTGTGCCATAACATTTACTACCGAAAAGACTCTGAACAAGATATAAATATCAGGGCATATATTACCTTCATCATCATCCATCCACCATTTGTGGTGTTTTTACATCTTAAACTTGGCTCTCCTTGTGACAATCATTGGAACATAGTTGTTTTGAGTTCTTAAGTACATCAAAAGAGCACTTGGAAAAAGACTTGTTCTCACTAAATAGAGACCACACTGATATTGTTGAGCATTCAAATACCGATTGGGCAAGAGATGTGAGCGATAGACAATATACTTCTGCTTATTGCATTTTTTTTGGGTGAAAATATGGTTTCATGGAAGAGCAATAAACAACTTGTTGTCAGTCAAGTACAAAAGCAGAGTATTGAGCTATGACTCATGCTGTATGTGAGCTTCTGTGTTTGAAACACTTAATGCAAGAAATTCATTTTACATTTTTGTATATGATAATCAATATTTAGCTTTATCCCTCTCCTCCAATCCAGCTTTCTAAGAGAAGACAAAGCATATAGAAATCAGCTTTCATTTCATCAGAGAAAAGATTCTCTCGAGTCATCAAAACTTCTTTTGGCAAATTTAAGGATCAACTTGCCGACATATTTATTCCATCTCTATGAAGTCCTCGGATAACTTACATATGTGACAAAATGAATGCATATGATATAGATGTTCCGCCTTGAGGGGGAGTGTTGAGATATTGATATGTGTTATAGAACAATTTGTTAGTATCTTTTGATATCATGAATTTCGACGGTGATATTGTAAGTTGTTTTCTATTTTCTAGTTTTATTTAAGTTGAGAGGCTAATGCTGTTTCCAAAACTGCGCATATAACCCTAATCTTTCATCATCAGTGCAGATGTGTACAGTCCCCTGTCTCCAAAAGTATCATGGTATATCCAACAAGGAAACGGCGAACCCTGGAAACAGAAGGAAGAAGATGGACCGCCCCTTAATTTAATTAGGATCATCCAGCAAGACCATTTCAAGTGATTCTGAATTCTTAAACCGGTAGAACAATAAATTAGATCCATCCGTTGAGTTAGACAGGGCCATCTTTTTCTCATTGTCAGAGTGCTCTTGCTCTTCCGCTCAGTTACACCATGAAACAGAAATGTGGCTGGCTTTTGTACATTTAAGCAAAAGGAATGGATTCAAAAGAATCTCACATTGTGCAGCAAAGCAGAGATAGTGCTTTTTTTCTTTTCATGTGATTTTATTTATTAAAAGCTTAGTTTCTATCAATATGAAACTGAGGAAGTGGTGGTGTATTCCAATTTGTTGCATCGTTTGTAGTTGTTGTAATACTTGTTATTAGTTGTTTTGTTGTACATTATTTTTTATTTTTTACCCTTTTCTTTTCATTTTGTTAAGTTAACTGAATTATTTAAACAGAGATAGCTTATTTGTATACGTTGATCAGTGTAATTTTAAGTATTTTAGTGATTGAATCTTAAGTGATTTTATACAATTGTTGTCTAAAAGAAAAGTTGTTTTCAAACAAAGGTTTTTGGGTTGTAATTGTTTATCGTAAGATGATATGATAGAAGTTTTTTGATCTGGTCATTTAACTGCAGTTTTAAGTTAGTACAATTTTTTTTTGCTTGTATTTTCAAATTATAAGTAACACAATTTTTTTCTATACAAAATTACGATTTTTAAATTTGTGTAAAATAATGTATAAAACTAAGTATGTACTGTACAATTAATGAAAAAATTTATAATAAACATTCCATGAGCTAGAAATAACTTGTAAAATAAGCTATACATTAAAGAATGCTTAAACAAACATAAATATCCCTCAAGTTTTCACAAATTTCTAAACACTTGGCTGTTTATGTCAAAATTCAAGTATAAATATTATATTTCAGAAGATTAGAATAATTTCAGTTAAAAAAAAACTAGAACGGATAATAATCTTTCGTATAAAAAAAAACAAATTAAATAAAGAGATCTGCATTTATAATCTGAAAATATTAGTATACTAGCTTTTATTTTGTTTGATAAGAGTCGAGTTTAAACCACTTTCAGGACAGTTAAAAAGGGATTATTAAGTTATTAACATCATTTTGATCAATTATAAGTATTCTGTTTTTTATAAATAGTTATAGTTGAAAACTGATTTCAACAATGTGGCTGTAGTTTAGTGGTAAGAATTCCACGTTGTGGCCGTGGAGACCTGGGCTCGAATCCCAGCAGCCACATATAATTTTGTTATTTTTTTCATTTTATTCTGAAGCACCAAAACGTTTTAGAAATACCACAAAACTACACTTAAATTTTCACTTCCTCTTGTTCTTCTCATTTGTTAGTTTAATTAGTTGGTTATGTTAGTTAGGTAGTTTAATTGGTTGGTTATGTTAGTTAGTTAGTTAGTTAGTTTAATTGGTTTGTTAGGTTAGTTAGTTAGTTTTATTAGTTCCTTTCTGTTTTTCTGTTATCAGTTCCTTTCATCTATAAAAAGGGTGCTTCTTTGTATCAATATGATTCACTTTGGACTATTATTCACAAAATTTGTTTAAGAGTTCATATCTTTCTACAATTCTCTATGACTGTTTCTGGGTATAGAGATTACATTACTTGTTTGTTTGCGTAGGTTTCTTTTATATTCATCAGTGTTGATTTATTGATATCTTTCAATATTTTGCATTTGGTAGTGACAAGGCGGTTCCACCTGAGGAGGATTTGGAACTGTTGGGAGAAGAGAGTGCAAGAAGAATAGAAGAAGCTGTACGAAGAAATGTCGAGGAGAGGCTTCAGTCAGAGGAAGTCAAGCTAGAAATAGAAAGGCGCATAGCAGAGGGAATGAGAAGAAGTTTGATGATGTTGATGCTCAACTTGAAAAAGAAAAGCAAGAAATGCTTGCTGAAGCTAGAAGAAAACATGTGAGTATTCTGCGCCCCTTGTCGTGTGAAAACTGAAAAGCATTGAAACTGTGATATTTTCCAGAGATTGATAATTTGTGTATGAATAAAGTATTAGTTTGAGATATCTTATAAGCAACTTTGTCTCTTTCGTGACGAATAATAATCCGATCATAAATAGGTTTTGGCTTCTAGGAGGGAGGGTGAAGTCTTTATCATGTTCCTTTTATAATATTTTTCTGGTGTTCTCATTTGTTGATATTCTGCAGAGAGAAGAGCTGCATAAGATGCTTGAAGAGGACAGGAGGAGAGGGAAGAGTCTCAGAGAAGAGAAGCTCTAGAGCTACAGCGGAAGAAGGAGGAACAGAAAAGAGAATTAGAGATGATTCTGAGACAGAAAGAAGAGTCTGCTGAGAGAAAGAAACTCGAGGAAGAATAACATGCTTATCATATCAATTCTATGGGCAAGAACAAATCTAGGGCTAACTCATATGGGTTGTAATTACTATTAGACAATGTCGTTCTATACCCGCAAACTTATCTGTCCGAATGTACTCTTGTTAGCAAACTTATATTGAGCTTGCAACTTTTATTCAATTTACAAGATCAATGAAAACTTTAAAATGTTATTTTCTTTGAGTTACTACTGTCTGTTTTGAGGTTCATTCTGCAGACTAGTTAATGAATAAATACTAATATTCCCTCTGATCCTTATTAGATACATTGAATAGTTTTCCTTGTTCCTTACCAAGAGTGACACAAGTCATAATTTGAGCTTCATGTTCTTACAGGCTATAATGCGACACTTCTTCATCCTAATAACCGCGTTAAACTATGAAACCAACCTTGACAAGAAGTTAAACCAATAAAGGTTAAAACTGATTACACCGGAGACAGATATAATACACCCATTTCTAACTAGCCTATGGTAAATACAGCCTTACATCTCCATAGAAAACCAAAGACAGTAAACTATCATCCTTTCCCTTTACTAATGCAGTGGCAGTACATCCAAATCCAAACCCAATGGAACTCTCCATGGCAAGAATGCCCCTTCATCTGTTAAATTCTGATAACATACCACACAACATATAGGTCAAACACAGTGCATAACTACATATGCAATGCCATACATTACCAATTGAACAGTGCATGAAGAACTAACAAATAAAGCATGTAGTGCGATGCTTACTGTCAACCAAAAGAAAAATCCACGCAGGAGACGCAGAACTTTGGGAAGATCATCACCAGCTGCATCTATTTGCTTTGCAAGATCTAACAACATGAATCACACATCACAGTTATAGAGTATAAGAAACACAGCAAGTTGTATAAAGACTTTGCAGCACCATCCTGCTTACCAAGGTTATGATCATGATAAGACTTTCCATCATGATCTCCCTCGTAGATTTTTACAACCCCACGCAGAATTTTGTGGTTTTGAACCGGCTTTCGAAGATTAAACTCTTCCAACAGTCTCTTGCACTCTTCCTCACAGTAAGGCCTATCAAGTTCATTCATTAGTCTTTCTCTAAACTCTGCAACTTTCCTTGCCCTGACTTCATTATCCTACAAAATGTTCATCCTTTCAAATACAAAGCAACACAAAAAGCCAACAAAACCTAAACAGACCAAAAAAGTACCAAATTCAATTGGATGCAGTCAAAATCAAAATGATTTAGAGTCTGATCATGATCCACATGCATCATGTCAATTTCTTCAACATCATCATCATCATCATCGTCGTCATCATAATCTTGAATCTCCTTTTTCACACTTACTTCCATGCAAGATGGAGTATCATCCTGCTCACCCTTTTCTCCATCACCAATTTTTTCAAAGCATGCACCTTTCACAGATGAACCGCCTACCAGGTTCTTTCTCTTGCGTCCTCTTTTAGGTTTACCACCATTTTTAGCAGCAGAGAGTTTTACTGTACCCCTCCGTTTCCTAACCTTAACCTCATCCTCGTATTGAACCAAAACACCATCATCAACAATGTCCAGTACATAAGATTTTCCACGAGGCTTGAAATAATCCAATAAAAACCCATTTTGTACCTCTTCATCTTCTGTGAGATTTTCTTCAGCATTGTTGTCTCTATTTTGTTCTTGAAGACTAAGGATATGAGATTCTACGATGCTGGCTGAACCTTCTAAGAACTGCAAAAGTTCTGGGTCGGGTTTTGGATGTTTAATAACAAATCTGTTAAGAAGGTTGTTGTAGTAGTTGAACTTGTTTTGATTTTTGTTTTGCGTGTTCTTGTATTTGAGGAAATCATATATATCATCTTCAGAATCCCAACTCTTTCTGAGTTTGTTTTTGTTCTTTGAAGTGAAAACCATTGTGATGTTATGGTTTCAATGTTAGAGAAAGTGTTTTGTTATGATGAAGACGGAGTAGTGTACAGTACGGGTATACTGTGTTTGATTGCATGTATCTTCGTTGTGTGTGATGTTTGAGGGAAAGGTTTCGGTACTTACTCGGGAAAGGCACGCCTTTGAGGCAATCTCCACCATTCGATCAATCAAACAGGTTGAATTTAACCATTTGTCAACTTAAGAATTTTAAAACAAAACTTTAATATCAGTTTTTTTTAAATAACCAACTCTTTTAACCATCTCTCTCATTTTCAAAACTACTTTTACACCCATATTAAAAAATATAATGATATTATTATAAAATATTGTCTTTTATTAAATTAGTCTTATTAATATGTGAAAAATAGTGTACAAAGTAATAATTATATGATACAATTGAAAAATGATAATTATTACTACGAATAACATTCATTTTGGAACAAAAATTTTCTTATAGAACGGTCATTTTGAAAAGGAGAAAGTACTATTTTATTTTAAAGTATGCATGTTTTACATAAATAAAAAACTTAAATGCACTTTTGATCCCCTAGTTTAATAATTTTAAACTTTTAGTTCCTCCATTTTAAAAATTATTAATAATTAAATCATCAATCATTAACTAATTCATCATTATATCCAACCCAAACATCTTATCACTTGCTTCGCCTATTTCTTTATGATAAATGTTTAGTTTTTCTTTTTAGTCATTTTCGAGATCTACATATTTCACTTGATGTTAAACGTTTCATTTTTCAAACCTCATTTAATAAATCTCCATCTTAGTCACTTTCTAGATCTTTATATTTCATTTGATGTTAAAGGTTTAGTTTTTACTTGAGTGAGTCAGGGATCACTTTCTTAGTGGAATTGGAAATAAAAAATTAATGGAGGGTTATTATGATACCAAAAATTGAATTAAAATGTAATTTTAAAAAAGGTGGGGATGTAAAGTGTAAACACAATTTCTCTTCTTTTTTTCTAAAATTGTCATATTGTCAAATTTGTAAAAGATGAAGAAAAAGACATAAGTGTAGTGAGAAGAAGAAAAAGAAGAAAAAATATTCATTTATTATTAAAAATTTTTCATTTTTAAGGTTTGGGGTTGTTGGAAGTTTGTGAGTTTTATTTTATGGGTCGAATGCCTTTATGAATTTTCTGGGTTGAAGGTGATGATAGATAAGTTTATAAATTTTTTGAATTTGGATGATATTTTTGTATGTGGTGAATATAAATGTAATGTGTATTTCTTTAATTATTATTAGTTAGTATTTATTAATAATTGAGTAATGTTTAAATTGGAATATAAAAGATACATGTTTAAAGAAATAATGAAAATACTGATTTTATGCCATGTCATTAACTTGACAACTATTTAAATGACTTGACATCTGATTAACCACGCCCAATCACCATTTTGAGAGCCAGATAATCAAAACAGAAAGGGGATTGAAAAAATTCTAAAAAGTGACAACTTAAAAAATTCCAAAATGTGATAACTTGAGGGACTAAAAGTCTGAAAAAATTAAAAGGGGAATTAAAACGTTAAAAATTTGTAAATAGGAGAACTAAAAGTGCATTTAAGCCTAAATAAAATTGTAACATAGATCACTAGATAGTTTAATTGGCGACTCTATTAAAAAAATAAATGATTTAATCAATTGAATTGACGATTGTATATAGTCTAACTAATTAAATGAGTAAGTGTGTCCAAATCATAAATGCAAACGCCAATTCATTTGACTTTCATGTTTTGGATAATTTTATTTATTTATTTTAATATAATCTATAATATAAAAAAATAACATATTGTAGAAAATACTCAACCACTCTTGTCTTTAAATTTGACATATCATTAAAATTGAGAGTATTTTGTGTTTAAAATTTACTTTTTTTCAAGCAAACTACCATTTCTAAAGATATGATTTGCTATCAACTATATTTACTTATGCTTTATTTAAAAAGAAAAAAAACTTTTATATCAAAATATTTGTATTAGAGATACAAAATGTAAAGAGTAATAACTCTACCCTTATGTAAAGCTTGGTATATATAGGGTACCCCATTGTGTATATTGGTCAATAACAATAATATAATTCATTCATTCTTTTCCTTCTCTTTTCCTCTCAATCTCTTCTTCTTCCTCACAAACTGTAACAGAATTCTATTACAAGATGAACCTCCATGTTCATCTTCACCAATCTTAACATGGTATCAATCGCCGTATACGATCTAGCACGCTTCTGCCACTCATCTCTTTTCTGCTAGCTCTGTCATATCAGCATTGAAGTTGTTCTGCTTCGCATCAAGGTATGTTCAGCAGCAACAATGGAGTATGGAGACAATCAAGAATCAGACGTCAAAGACTCCGTTCCGTCGCAAGAAGGAATTCCTGGTTTTGGATCCATGAAATCAAGCCACGGGTTTGGTCCGAAACTCTCCATTCAGCTGCAACAAAACAACTATCTCCTATGGAATCAACAAGTCGAAGGAGTTATCTTGACACAGAAGATGCACCGCATCATTGTCAATCCGCAGATTCTGCCAAAACTTGCTACTACTCAAGATCGCATCTCAGGTACGATTTCTGCCGAATATGAAACGTGGTTAATCCAAGATCAGGCTGTGTTTATCTGGTTACTTTCGACTATCTCAGAGTCGATCTTCCTCGTGTTCTTGCGTGTAAACACGCATATGAAGTTTGGGACAAAATTCACCAATACTTCACTGCTCAAATGAAGGTTAGGGTTAGACAACTAAGAGTTGAACTCAAGTCTACCAAGAAAAGAACTAGCACGATAATAGAGTTTGTGCTCAGAATCAAAGCCATAGCCAACTCTCTCTTAGCAGTAGGAGATACCATAACTGAACAAGATCAGGTTGATGCGATTCTTGATGGCCTCTGAGGAGTACAATCCATTTGTGATGCAGATGTATGGTACACCAATCCCACCTTCTCTATGTGATGTAGAAGCCCTGTTATATGTTCAAGAAGCTCAGCTGGAGAAGTTTCGACAGGACCAAGCAGCCTCCAGCATTGCTGCAAATATTGCTCACACAGGTCGTGGCAATTCACGCCCCCAGAATGATTACACACCCAACAATGAGAGGAATACCAGATTTTCCAGAGGAAGAGGCAGGGGCAGAGCAAGGGCTGCAAGTAACAATAGACCTACATGCCAGCTCTGTGGCAAATATGGCCACACTGTATCCTCATGTTGGCATCGATTTGATGAAATTTTTATGCCTCCCAATCCTAATGAATCTCAGGACAAGATAGGGAGCAACACACCATCAAGTCATGAGCAGTCCAAGGACAAGCCTCAAAATCCACAAGCTGTAGCAATGATGGTTGCTGCAAGCAAATCAATTGGCACAACTCAGCAGTACAACCTACCTGCAGAACTAGATTCCCAAGCATGGTTTGTGGACTCAGGTGCTTCTCATCATCTTACTCCCTATGCACTTAACTTACAAAATTCTAAGGCATACACATGTAGTGATAAAGTTTATGTAGGCAATGGCCATACACTCACTATTCACTCTATAGGCTTCACACAATTCTGCTCTTCATTAGTGCCCAAGTGCAAGCTGATGTTGAATGATATACTTTATGTACCAGCTATCACCAAAAATATTCTTCTGTTTCCAAATTTTCACATGATAATCATGTTATCTTTGAATTCCTGTCTAACAAATGTTACATTAAATCTCAGGCTTCTAGACAAGTTCTGGTTGAAGGAATCCTAGATGCCAGTGGTCTCTACTGTTTTACTCATATGCATTTGGAGTCTTCAAGGTCACACAGTTTGCATACCACATTGAATAAGTCAAGGCATGTTCAAAGTTACACTGCTGTTCAGTCCTCCTGTCAGCTAGATAGTTCCAACTCTAATACCTGTAGTAATAGTGTGCTGTGGCATCATAGATTAGGGCACGCTAACTCTTCATCTGTTGCTCATATACTAAAACTGTGTAATATTCCTTATTCAAATAAACAAAGTAGCTTTTGCAAATCCTGTAATCTTGGTAAAGCTCATAGGCTTCATGCTCCTTTGACTCATCATGTATATAATAAGGCTTTTGATGTGATATATACTTATCTTTGGGGGCCTCCTCTTCTACTTCTAGTACTGGGTTTAGCTATTACACTGCATTTGTTGATGCTCATACCAGGTATACCTGGCTGTATTTTCTTAAACAAAAGTCTGAAGCTTTAGGTGCATTTAAATTGTTCCACAAGTTTGTTCAAACTCAGTTTGGTCTAACTATTAAGTCAGTTCAATCTGACTTTGGTGGTGAATTCAGACCCTTCACAAAATTTCTGCAGGATCTTGGAATTACACATAGAGTAACTTGTCCTCATACCTCCCATCAAAATGGCTCAGTTGAGAAGAAACACATAACAATTGTTGAGATGGGGTTGACACTGCTTGCTCATGCATTCATGCCTCTAACATATTGGGATCACAGTTTTGATACTGTTGTCTACCTCATGAACAGGTTGCCAACATCTCCATTGACTACACATCATTCACCATTTCATGCTCTGTATGGTAAGCATCTTGACTACACAACTATTAGAGTGTTTGGTTGTGCCTGTTATCCTCTACTTAGACCATATAATCAGCACAAGTTGCAACTTAGGAGTCAGGAATGTGTATACATTGGAGTCTCTCTTCAACACAGAGGTTTCAAATGCTTGAGTAGTTCTAGAAGAATTTACATTTCGAAGGATGTAACCTTCAATGAGCAACATTTTCCTTTTCCTCAACTGTTTAAGTTAAGTACTACAGCAGGTCATGCTTCTATAAACAAGTCCCTTGTCTGTCCAGTAGTTCTACCATCCAGCACAGCTACCACATCATCACAGGTCACAACTGGCATCCCTTTACACTCTAATCCACCAGTTCAAAGCATGGATCCTACAACTACCCAACCTGTCACTACACACCTAGACCCCGTGACAGTCTCAATGCCTGAGCAGTCTAATCAGTCAGTTCTGGCTCCAGGCCCTCAGACAACATCTACTCCCTCACATGCTACTCAAGGTGAGTTTGCAAGTACTCCCAGTCCTACTACCTCTCTAACAGACATTTCACCTAGCACCTCTGTAGCAGGCCCTTCCACATCTTGTGATAATGCTGCTCAAATATTCTTAGACTTCAATAACAACTTTTCCAACTCAGAAACAGAATCTCCTTCAAGTCTTGAAGGTAATACACTGCATTTTTCCACTACTGAGAATGGTTGCCAATCCACTCCCTCAAGTTTTTCCTCACATCCCACATTTTCTAGTTCCACATATGAGTCTTCTTGCTCTCCATCCATTCCCAGCCACAGACGTCAACCTCCACTCTTGGTTAATGATCACCTTATGATGACTCGAGCCAAGACTGGGAAATTCAAACCTAAGGCCTTATTGGCACATACTGAAGCTGAACCAACCACTGTCAAACAAGCCCTATCTCACCCCTCTTGGCACACTACTATGCAATCTGAATTTGATGCTTTGCAGGCAAACCACACATGGACTCTCACAACATTACCTTCTGACAGAAAAGCTGTGGGCTGTAGATGGGTGTTCAAAATCAAGGAGAATGTTGATGGATCTATCAACAAATACAAAGCTAGGCTTGTAGCCAAGGGATTTCATCAAGAACATGGTTTTGACTACACATAAACCTTCTCTCCTATTGTTAAACCAACCACTATCAGAGTTATCCTCACCATGGCACTCACTCACAACTGGGATATCCAACAAATTGATGTCAACAATGCCTTTCTCAATGGCACCTTGACTGATGAAGTTTATATGACTCAACCTCCAGGTTTTGCCACAGATGACAAGAATCTTGTATGTAAGCTACACAAGGAAATATATGGCCTCAAACAGGCTCCACGGGCCTGGTATGAAAAACTGGCACAAGCCCTGATTCAGTTTGGGTTCACTACATCCAAGTGTGATAACTCCTTGTTTCTCTATTGCTCTAAAGGTACTGTCTTATATGCTCTAGTGTATGTAGATGACATACTCATCACAGGGTCTGAGCACAAACTGATCCATACTTTAATTCACCAACTGCACACTGCATTTGCGTTGAAAAAGCTTGGCAGGCCAAAATATTTTATTGGCATTGAAGTGAATTTTCAAACAGATGGCTCAATACTTTTGACACAATCAAAGTATATCAGAGATTTGCTGTCTCGAGCAAACATGGTCAATGCCAATGGAGTTCCAACTCCCATGATGACCAGCTGCAAACTCAGCAGACATGGCGCCTCTAAGCTAGCAGATCCTTCCTTCTACAGGTCTATTGTGGGAGCATTGCAGTATGTGACCTTAACCAGGCCTGACATTTCCTATAGTGTCAATAAGGTTTGCCAATTCATGTCTGACCCTCTTGATACGCATTGGTCTGCGGCCAGACGCATTCTCCGGTACCTCAGTGGTACTGTCTCCTATGGTTTACATTTGTCTCCGTCGGCTACAGCTTCAAAAATGTTTGTTCATGCCTACAGTGACTCTGATTGGGCCAGTGACCCGGATGATAGGCGGTCCACATCTGGCTCGTGTATATTTTTTGGTCATAATCTTATCTCATGGAGTTCGAAGAAGCAAGCCCTTGTTGCTCGATCTAGCACGGAGGCAGAATATCGCGCCCTGGCTCATACAACCTCGGAACTGCTATGGCTGGAGTCTCTCTTGTCTGAGCTCAAAATCACTTATCACACTCTTATTCTCATGTGTGATAACTTAAGTGCGATTCTGCTTTCTCATAATCCAGTTCTTCATGCTCGCACCAAGCATATTGAGCTTGACATACACTTTGTGCGTGAACGGGTTGTGGCTGGCCAATTTCGTGTGCATCATGTTCCGACATCGGTTCAACTAGCAGACACACTTACAAAACCCCTTGGGATTGGAGCATTTCAGAATCTCAGACACAAACTCAAGGTGACTAGCTTGGAAGGTCTCACCATGAGTTTGAGGGGATATTAGAGATACAAAATGTAAAGAGTAATAACTCTACCATTATGTAAAGCTTGGGTATATATAGGGTACCCCATTGTGTATATTGGTCAATAACAATAATATAATTCATTCATTCTTTTCCTTCTCTTTTCCTCTCAATCTCTTCTTCTTCTTCCTCACAAACTGTAACAGAATTCTATTACAATATGAACCTCCATGTTCATCTTCACCAATCTTAACAATTTGAAATTGCAAACTTTTGAGTTTTACGTTTTCCAATGCAAAATTTGTACGACAAAAAAATCTGAACAGCATATCATTTTCCTTTTTTCTCATTAACCAACAAACATTGCTACCCTCTATTTTGATGTCAATTTGAAATATAATTTTCCACTAGAAAAGAGGAAAAATAATGAGAGAGAGGAAATATGGCACGTTGTGGTATTGTAGTGAAATGTAAGAAAAATTGAATGAAATATGTTAATTACTCTTTAGGATATTATGTAGTGTTTTTTTTCCTTTCATTTTGACAAAAAGGGTAAATTAGGAAGAATGTTATAATGCTTTAATAATAAATAATAGTTGATTATTTAAAAAAAAATAGAAATATACTTTAGAGATTAAGTTAATAATTTAGTTATTTATTTATCTTCTACAATACAATTCATCAAGCATATTATTATTACAATTAATATTGAAACTAACAATTGAATCAAAATGAAGTGAATGAATGAATGAATGAATGAATTGGAAGTGCATTGATTAGGGTTTGAGAATGGGTCGAAGCTTGTCACGTTCACCACCTCCCTACAGAAGAAGACATTCTCGATCTCGATCTCCGTCTCCATCTCATCGCCGAAACCGACGCCGCCGTAGACACAGAAGCAGAACCTCTTCTTCACCCTCTCCTCCACCCAGGTCACGCACTCCCTCTCTCAAACACAAAAAACACCATCCACCAACCCTAAACAACAAAAGGTTTTATCACCATAGCCTTTGTTTTGTTTCATCTTTCATCTCTTTATGTTAATTATTCTTTAATTCATTAATTATGTTAATTATACTTTAATTGATTAGTTAGTTAGTTAGTTTTTTCTGTTATCGGTCCCTTTCATCTATAAAAAATGTTGATTCTTTGTGTATCTTTCTTTTATATTCATCAATGTTGATTTATTATGAAGCACGAATACTTCAAAATCGTTGCCAAATCGTATCCGATATGTACCAATAGGCCGATACGTCGCTAATATAGTTTTAAGTGTTATATACAAATGTATGGTATCCTATATTTTTTAGTGATTGACGTATCGGCGTATCAGATACATATCGTATTTGATAACTGTATCGGGTTCGTGCTTCGATAATTAATATCTTTCAATATTTTGCATTTGGTAGTAACAAGGCTCCATCTGAGGAGGATTTGGAACTCTTGGAAGAAGATGCTGCAAGAAGAATAGAAGAAGCTGTTCAAAGAAATGTCGAGGAGAGGCTTAAGTCAGAGGAAGTTAAGTTAGAAATAGAAAGGCGCATAGCAGAGGGATTGAAGAAGAAGTTTGATGATGTTGAAATTCAACTTCAAAAAGAAAAGCAAGAAATGCTTGCTGAAGCTAGAAGAAAAGATGTAAGTATTCTGTGCCCCTTGTTGTGTGAAAAAGATAATAGGGGGAAGTTCTTGATAATTCCGAAATTATATTTGGAGTGGGTTTCAAATATTGAAACTGCAATATTTTTTCAGAGACTGGTAATTTGTGTATGGATAAAGTATTTGTTTGAGATATATTATAAGCATACTTACGTGGTAAACTAGATGCCACCTTGAAGATCTTTGCGGCATTGGTGACAAATTTTATAGTCAGATCATAAACAGGTTTTTGGATAACCAATGGAATTCCTAAATTTGATTCAAGATTTGTACTGAAACATTAACTTAAACTTCTGCGTCATTGACATTTAGTTTCTTCACTCATTAGCACTATAATAATCAGGCAACTGTGTTGAATAAGTCTCTATTATTGTTTAACGAGTTTTTAAACCGAAATCTTATTTGTATCTAAAAAAGGGCATACTACTTTTATTTTGGGGGTAGGCTGAAATTTTAATCATGTTGCTTTTGTTATTTTTTTTCAGTGTCCTCATTTGAGGATTGTGTTGTGTTTATTGACATTCTGTAGGCACAAGCTCAAAAAGAGAGAGAAGAGCTGGATAAGATGCTTGAAGAGAATAGGAGGAGGGTGGAAGAGTCTCAGAGAAGAGAAGCTCTAGAGTTACAACGGAAGGAAGAGGAACGGCAAAGGGAATTAGAGATGATTCGGAGACAGAAAGAAGAGTCTGCTCGGAGAAAGAAACTCGAGGAGGAAGAGCATGCTTATCAAAACAATTCTATGGGCAAGAACAAATCTAGGGCTAACTCTTACGGTTTGTAATTACTATTAGGCAATGTCATTCTATACCCCCAAACTTATCTTTACAAATGTACCTTTGTTAGGAAACCGTGATCTTGAATGAAAATTTGATACTCCTACAGTTGAGCTTGCAACTTTTATTACAATTGACAAGATCATAGAAATTTTTTAAATGTTATTTTCTGAGTTACTACTGTTTTGAGGTTCATTTGAATTGCATGACAGAATGGTCATCCTCTTTCACTGGTTTTGAAATTTCCATTCTGCAGAGTTAATAATTAAACATACACTTACAAGTATGGTATGTTAAGACTCCCCAATCAAATCTGCGGAGTCTTGTTGTGTAATTTTGCTTACTTGTAGGAAACTAGTTATTGAAATTTGAATTGTTTGGTGATTGAGTAAGGTGAGAATAATCATAGATGGGCATGTACTACCAATAATCATATTCACATCGTGCTATAATTGAGTAAGGAATAGCTTTACTCAAAGGGGATAGGTCAAACATGTCTCATAGTCATATAGACCTGCTACCTATTTTTTTTTTTACTTTACTAGTATTCTTTTGGAATAATATTTGGCGATCTTCCTATTCCTAAATCTATATGTAGTAATTAGTCACTAGAATATTGTTTTATTTCAAACCTAATGCACACCTGTCTAAGAAAAAACCATTTTTTGATGGACACTTATCTGATTTTCTGACATCTGTCCGACTTTTTTAATTCGTGTCATATGAGTTTTATACAAGTGTCGGATACCGCGACAAGCCTAATCGGAGAGGTGCCGAGCTTCCTAGAAATACATAAACCAAAATAACTCTTTGTACCATTCTTCTAAAAATAGAGAAAGAGCAACGAAGAAGTGAGTAGGCTCTACACCACATTTTGTCCGGACATTTAGCCATGTTATGATCAACATGGTAAATGTAGAATGTGAATTCAGCTACATTAAGTAATTGTGTATAAATAAAATATCAACATCACATTATACCAAAAAAACAAATGTGAACATCACATATTCACATTCTATCTGACTATATCTATAACACAGAATAAAAAATATTAATTTCCAACAATATTGGGATAATCCGTCTATAAAACCTTCTCACCTAACCAAAAAAGATAACCTACCTACCTTTTTCTTTCCATCTCAATGGATGCGTAGAATTGAAACAAAACTCAATCTCCACTCTTTGTAGCAAATTAGTAAGCCAGTTTGTCCACCCAACTTATCTAATCTAATCACTTCCCAACCTTACCCCTAAACATAATATTAATACAAACTTATATCATACACTACATTTTTCTATAGGTTTAATGATTCTTATTCATTTTATGATTCACCCAATTCATGATCCTCCTCCATTAATTAGTCCCCCAAAATGATGCATTTTACTCTACAAAATGATTTTTAGAGAAGAATTGTCCTCACTCAGATAAACATATGTATATATCATATTTTTATTATTCGATATGACTCTTTTAACATTTTTCTTCACGCTCAAGACTAGACATGTGAAGCATAAAAATAAATAATTGATGTTCTGAGAACCAAAATCTGATATCAGATGGTCTATGAAATCTTAAAATCAAATTTTAATCATGTTAAAAATATGTAGTTGAACATAATTCAATTCTATATAATCGAATTGTAGGATGATGATTATCCACTTATAAATATATCTTCAGATTATATGTTATGTGATTAGACTCTTAATAATATCTAGGAATAAAAAAGAAAAAACTACAAATGACAAAAGTGTTGCCCCTCGTTTAATTCAAGACAACTTCTCTTAATTGTAAGTGTTAGATACTCCTAACTTTTTGTCACAACATTCTTACCTTACCTTAGATTTTGCAACCACGTTTTGCAAATAATAATTAATAATTAATAATAATAATAATAATCTGCCAAAACGCTAGACCCGGTATTTGTTGCGACACTACACTCATAACTCATAACTTAACTTCCCATTCACCACTAAACCTATATCACGTCTCTCTAATTACTTACTTAACCCTTTATAAAACGTTACAATTAAGACCCCTCATTTCTCATGTGATTCATCAAGATTTAACACCATTTCTCTACCAAAGAAAACTTATATATATTCACTCTTCTCCCTCACTCAACATATTTTCATAACTTCACTCATTATATAAGTCCTTCTTCAGCAACCTAATGTTTATGGCTACACAAAACTGTTCAAAATGTATCATGTTGGTGACACTTTTAGTAACCATTTTTTTCATCATTCCAACTTCCTCAACATCAAGAGGAATCTCTCCTCACGCCCTCCGAGTCGCTCTTCGCCACGTTGATTCGGGCAAAAACTTGACGAAATTCGAGCGAATTCAACATGGCATCAACCGCGGACATAGCCGACTCCAAAGACTTAACGCAATGGTGTTATCATCATCATCATCAACTCGTGATTCTTCTCAGTTCGAAGCACCGATTCGCGCAGGAAATGGCGAATATCTAATGGAATTATCCATTGGAACACCACCAGTTTCATATCCAGCAGTTCTAGACACAGGAAGTGACCTCATTTGGACTCAATGTAAGCCATGCTCACAATGCTACAAACAACCAACACCAATCTTTGATCCTAAAAAATCCTCAACTTTTTCAAAACTCTCATGTAGTAGCAGCCTATGCAACGCTTTACCTTCCTCGTCTTGTAACAAAAATGGTTGCAATTATGTTTATTCATACGGTGATAACTCAGTGACACAAGGTATTTTAGGTAGTGAAACATTCACTTTTGGTGATGAAAACAACAAAAAAAACAAAGTTTCTGTTCAAAACATAGGTTTTGGTTGCGGCGAAGACAATGAAGGTGAAGGATTTGAACAAGCTTCAGGGTTAGTTGGATTAGGACGAGGTTCTTTATCTTTGGTTTCTCAACTAAAAGAACAAAAATTCTCTTACTGTTTAACCTCAATGGATGACACAAAAGAAAGTGTTCTTTTCTTAGGTTCTGTTGCAAATGTTCATGTCACAAAACATGTCACAACACCACTTATTACAAATCCATCACAACCATCTTTTTATTATCTTTCGCTCGAAGGAATCTCGGTCGGTGACACAAGATTATCCATTGAGAAATCAACTTTTGAGGTTAGTGATGATGGAAGTGGAGGCATGATTATTGATTCCGGCACAACTATTACTTACATTGAAGAAAATGCTTTTCTTTCATTGAAGAAAGAGTTTATATCACAAACCAATTTACCCGTAGATGAATCGGGTTCGACCGGATTAGATGTTTGTTTTAGTCTTCCATCCGGAAAAACACAAGTTGAAATTCCAAAACTGGTTTTTCATTTTAATGGCGGCGATTTGGAATTAGCGGCCGAAAATTATATGATTGGTGATTCGAGTTTAGGTGTGGCTTGTTTAGCTATGGGAGCTTCTAATGGAATGTCAATCTTTGGTAATGTTCAACAACAGAATATTTTGGTGAATCATGATCTTGAGAAAGAAACTATTTCTTTTGTTCCTACTCAGTGTAATAAATTGTGATGAGTTTGTGTTATATGGTTATTATGGACTCATCTAAATCTCTTTGTTTCTTTGTTTGTCTTTTATGTTGTCTTAGAACTAGTATTGTTTTTATGATTGAATTTCTTAGTTGGTTTAACAAAGTTATGGTGTTTTTCACTTTTAATTCTATAAATCCAAGTAATCTTCATAGATCATGTTGCATATTGCATACATTAGTGAATGATAGTGTAAGATACAATGTGTTTGTTCAACGACCACACCCACCTTAATTTTTTCCATAGGTAGATAAATATTCTAGTTAAGTTTATAGCTTTTTTGTTATTTTTATTAACCACTTGCGCCTAATGAGTTGATTAAATGTCAAGACTCTAGTTAAGCTTATAACATGTTTGTTTCATATTCTAGAGCTAGAGCTTCTAGAATCAATTATAGTGAAGGAGCGAATTAGTTACTTTGGACCTTGTTATTTGTAGAAACATTTCTTAAACTTTACCTTTCTTCAACTCGAAAAAACTTTAGTTTTTCTTTGCAAACTTAAATGAATCTTTGATTCATTATTGATTAGCTAATTATAACTTTGAGATGACACATTAAAAATCAAATTTTTGATAAAAATAATTTTTAAAAATTTTATGGCACAACAGAAACAATCTGAATCGAATCGTCTAACTGAACCTACAGTTACGGTTAGAATAGAATATCAAATTATTAATTAATTTGAATCACAATCTTTGATTCACAATCGATCTTTGATTTATCCGAAGGAAAAGGTCAAAAGAAGAAAAACCTAATTTTTGCATCGTAAACAATGCGGAGAGAGATTTAGGTAAGAGATTGGTTAAACCTAGGGAAGATATTAACACCCTAAACTTCTGTAGTACTCTACAGGAACCTCTTGTTTAAAGTGTACTATTTTTCTTGATTATCTGCTTTAGGGTATATACTAAGGGTTAAAGGTGAAAGAGAGACCTAAGGGTTAGTCCTAAGTTTACTCGCCAAGATTCACATCTTGTGCCTACGTATTCGAGGTAGAGGATGAAATCAGAGTAATCGTAGTTCCCCTCGAAAGGGAGGTTAGAAACTTCTTGACTGTGGTCAAGGTTTCAATGGAGAATAAGCGTTTTTAAGGAAGCGCTTACGTGGAGTGCGGCGACTCCTATTTCTACGTTGAAATAGTTGAAAAGGTGTAAAAATAGGTAGTCCACAGCGGAAAACCTAAAACGGAGTGGGCCGACTCCTTAACCTAATATTAGGGTAAAGAGTATTTTGGTTTTATCCGTTGGCTTCAGAAATTCTTGGGGAAATATTGTTAGTGGCATGTTTGGCAAAACCCATTTTTTCCAAGAAATAAGTGCTTTTTTCCAAAAGTACTTTTTCAACAATCACTTTTCTTGGAATCACTTTTTAAAATCACTTTTTCTCTCTCTCCTGGCTGCCTTGAACAGAAATCTGCCGGTCTCGTGCCGAGGTCGGAAAATAAGTCGGGAGCTGGCTTCGACTTTGTCGTT